AGCAATCATCATTGCCTGTCTAAAAATAAAAATGAAAAAAAAAAATCAGCCATCAATCTCTTTGTCCAAAACTATATTTAAGTGCCAAGCAATATTCTAGGGATTCAGTGTTAAACAATATAAGATCCATGTGCTTATGGAATTTAAATTTAAATGTATGGAGGAATTTAGTAAACAAGTTACCAACTGAAAATGCAAGATAATTTCAGATTATTTTAAATGCTAAGAATATAAAACTGGATGATGTGGTAGAATGAAAGCATGCTATGTTGAGAATGGGAGAAAAAAATAGGAATTTTAAAGAAATGTGTTTGTAGAGTGCATCTATCTCTAAGAAATATAGCTAAGACCATATTCTTGAGAAGAATAACATGTTAAAATGTACCTCTTCTCTCCCTATTCATCAGTATAGAAAACACCAGCAACTTCAATATATAAACAATTCATCAGCATTAGGACGGCTTAATACTAAAAATCAGTTTGGGTCTAGAAGTATTTACTTATCTAGCAACTGACTTTATCCACAAAAAAATATAGGACTACATCCCAATAAAATGAGATTTGTAATATTTTGTAGCACATTTCTGATACAGTATTGAAGATTTCTATAATTCACTTAATTTATTACAAGTAATGTTTCTAAGACTAAACTCACAAGAGGCTCTTCTTTGGTTCAAAGGTAGGGAGGAAGCGAGTGTTGTATCTATACCTGTGTGACAGAGGTTTGGGGGTCTTTAAGAAGTCCCTTTCAAGCAACTTAGTCTGTTCTCAGACTAGAGGTCAATTTTTCTGAAGAAAAAGGATAGTTGCTAGTTCCACAATTCACCAGAGAGAACATTGGCTGGGTACCCAGATTTTCCTGCAGGCTCTCACTAATGTGGTGTATAAAATGGGAATATCAGAAAATTTCAAGATGACATATTGAGTACATGCTGCTTCCTTCCTGTTCTACCCAAAATCTCTAGAAATGACAGAATAAATTATGAAAATTGTAGGGAGCAGCTCTAGAGTTATGCCTCGGATTGACCTGTGGCAGAGCCATAAACAAGTCCCAGCTTAGAAGGCAGAGCCCTCTTAGCATAATTAAGCTTGACCTTATGGGCGCCCCCGATCCTTCCTGGGTAGCTAATGGGCTGTGGGAGGTGCTGCAAGTGCTGCCAAAACAAGTGAAACTCACAAGAACATTGTAACTGAGGTGACCACTACCTTGTTTACCTCTGGCTATAAAATAAAGGCTCAGCTTGCTGTCTGGATCTTTCTCTATGGCCTCATCCAGGCATAGGAAATCCACTGAGCCCCAGCTACATTCTCTTTGTCTGTCTTTTCTTTTTCTTTCCTTCCTTTCCTCCTTTCTTCCATATATATTATTGATTTTTTACAGAGAGGAAGGGAGAAGGATAGAGAGCTAGAAACATGATGAGAAACATGATCAGCTGCCTCCTGCACACCCCCACTGGGTATGTGCCTGCAACCAAGGTACACGCCCCTGACCGGAATCAAACCTGGGACCCTTGAGTCTGCAGGCCGATGCTCTATCCACTGAGCCAAACCAGTTAGGGCTGTCTTTCTTTTCTTTAATTCTTCACCACCCCTCCTCAGGCTCACCAAACCCTTGGCTGTGCTGACACAGCACAGAAAATAAATTCTCAAGTTAAAAATAAGAGCAAGTTCTTCAAAGGACCAATAATGTTTAGGGAGAAAGCTATTCCCATCCATATCAAAGATTATTCCTATGGTAATAACCATGTCTTGGGGTAGAAATCACTATACTTTGGGGATGATAGAGGAACAGATTGTAAAATCTATTTTGTTCTTTGAATATTTCTCTCAATTTGAGTATAGTGATTGAGTATAATATAGTGACTGAGTATAGTGATTGAGTATAATACAGTGACTGAGTACAGTGATTGAGTATAATACAGTGACTGAGTATAGTGATTGAGAATAATACAGTGACTGAGTACAGTGATTGAGTATAATATAGTGACTGAGTATAGTGATTGAGTATAATACAGTGACTGAGTATAGTGATTGAGTATAATACAGTGACTGAGTATAGTGATTGAGTATAATACAGTGACTGAGTATAGTGATTGAGTATAATATAGTGACTGAGTATAGTGATTGAGTATAATATAGTGACTGAGTATAGTGATTGAGTATAATACAGTGACTGAGTATAGTGATTGAGTATAATACAGTGACTGAGTATAGTGATTGAGTATAATACAGTGACTGAGTATAGTGATTGAGTATAATACAGTGACTGAGTATAGTGATTGAGTATAATACAGTGACTGAGTATAGTGATTGAGTATAATACAGTGACTGAGTATAGTGATTGAGTATAATACAGTGACTGAGTATAGTGATTGAGTATAATACAGTGACTGAGTATAGTGATTGAGTATAATACAGTGACTGAGTATAGTGATTGAGTATAATACAGTGACTGAGTATAGTGATTGAGTATAATACAGTGACTGAGTATAGTGATTGAGTATAATACAGTGACTGAGTATAGTGATTGAGTATAATACAGTGACTGAGTATAGTGATTGAGTATAATACAGTGACTGAGTATAGTGATTGAGTATAATACAGTGACTGAGTATAGTGATTGAGTATAATACAGTGACTGAGTATAGTGATTGAGTATAATATAGTGACTGAGTATAGTGATTGAGTATAATATAGTGACTGAGTATAGTGATTGAGTATAATATAGTGACTGAGTATAGTGATTGAGTATAATATAGTGACTGAGTATAGTGATTGAGTATAATATAGTGACTGAGTATAGTGATTGAGTATTTGAGTATAGTAGACACTGGGGGGTTATTAACTGTGGCTCTGGTTTTCATCATTTTGTACTTATTGGAGATAATTTTTTAAAAATTTTCCTTTTGAGGCCAGTTGAGTATGGTTCTACTTTTTTTGTTGTTGCCATATATCCATTGTTCTCTAAATTCAATTCTGGACCCCCTCCAATTAGATAGGATGCTATTATCTTCCTCTTAAGAACTGATAAGAAATTTCTTATAATCACCTAGGTCAGAAGACAGACTCCCATATATGTTGGCTTTTTAACCCGCTCTTTTCCTTACTGGAGAAGAATCTCTTTTTCCCTGTTTCCATATAGAGAAAACTCCATTACAGTGACACTCCTAGTTTCTCTACCTCCCCTATCCCAATTTATTCCTCTCCATGAGGGGGAAATATGACTTCTTTGCTCAGTTTGTCAAATGGAACTGAATATCCTTGGTTCTGCCTGTCTGTCTGTCTGTCTGATTTGAGAGGCACATGCTTTTCCCAAGCATGCATTCTCACCTTTCTTAGCTATGCGGTAGACCTAGAAGAGCTAGATCCTTCCTTAAGGAGGAAACATTGAAAGTTTGGAAGGCTAAATTTCAATTCAAGAAGTGTGTTAGCAAGTCTTCTGGCCAGACTTAAACTTTGCCCTGCAAAATCAACCTTTTCAATAAAGCTGTTATTTTTTTGACCTCTGACTAATTTCAGCATCTCAATGAATCTCCACTCAGCTGGGAAATCCTCTTAAAACATCTATATTACCTTCCAAATCCATTTTCAGCTTCTTATCCCAGCTACTTCAAACTAATTCCCACCTGAAAATACATCAGTGGTTAGTTGTTTTTAAATGGCAAACTCATCTATGTAGAAGTGGGAATAATGACCGGAAGAAAAGAAATAATGGCATTTTCTTAATTCCAAAGCAATCTCCCACTAAATAGAAGTAAAACTGAAGCTGTTGCAAAAGAAATGGAGCAAGAAGTCACTCTACCCAACCTGAAGCACTATTTGGAGGCAATGAAGTCTACCTTTAAGTACCATATTTAGGGGCAATATCCCCACTCTCTACTCATTCAGTCATTACGAGTACCAGCTTCCTAATGTTTGCCCTATCTGGACAGTCAATGTTATCTTTTCATTCAACTAATGGTTTAAGTGAAATTAATTGACTAATAGTTTTTACCTAAATAAAAGTATTTATAACTGTAAATGTTGGTTGTCTTCCAACATGCACTTTCACCTTCTTCTATACTTACAGGACCCCTATTATTTTTAAAAGCAGTAATAGATGTTCTGCTTAAAAGATCCAGCCTTATGTACAGATCGGAGTAGCCAGTGAGGCCTAAGAGTCATTAGTTGGAGTGTCTGGGTAAGTTCTTCCAAGACGGCTTATTTAGGAAGAAGGCCTATTCTTTTGTCCTGTCTTTTCTCCTTCTTGTGACTTAGAATAGAGATATGATAGTCAACCAAAGTGACCATGTGAAGATCTTGAGGATGAAAACCAGGCACTAAAAATAGCAGAGCAAAAAAATGGAAGGTAGCTGGATCTCTCGTGACCATGTATCTGCCATACCTGCCCTGGAATACCTCCTCTGGACTTATTTAGAGGATAGCAAAAGAAGGCTCTATTTTATTTAGTCCACTATTATGTGGGTTTCCTTTATATGTAGCAAAAACTAGCTTTAACTTATGTGTCATGTGTTAAATGTGCTAGCTTTAGATAGTTTTCAATTATTAAAACAATAAACTTATACACTTATTACTTAAATGACGTAAAAGTCATCTTGCTTATTACTGCTAATATGCATACCATACTCATGAGAAACTGCCTAGTTATCCACAGAACCTGTAAAAATGATTCACCTTTCCTTTTGTTTTGCTCTTCTTATAAAGAGAGAGCCAAAAATACAGCAAGACTAGCTGAAAGTAAACTGGGAAAATTTGTGAAGATCTTTTGAGAAAAAAAGACATTTGGAAAATATACCAGTTTAAATAAGATTTACTTATATATCTGTGAAAAATATACTGCAAACAATGGCTTACTGATACTTATTAATTTAATAAGTTCCCCACCCCTACTGTTAATAGGATTTCATAACATGATTACATGAAGTTATAATGGCAAAATAATTTTGCATTTTAACTTTCTCTAGAAGAAAATACATAAAACATCTAACAAAGACACTTACATTTGAAGGTTTGAGTTTGTTAATGATGGTTGTTTTGCCACTATTATCCAGCCCAAGGCACAGAACATGGACCTCCTTCTTCTTCAGGCCCAGCAACCCTGAAAGTCTGTCTAGCAATCCCATACTGCGATTCAGATATTTATAAACCAACTGCAAGTCAGAAAAAAAAATACATTATCCACAGGCACATTAAGTATGGAAAATATGAGCAAGTATATAAATATTTAATAATATAAAGACACAATGATGTGAAAACCATGTCAATGTAGCTTTGCACTTAGTAAACAGAGTATAAGCTGATTACCAGAAAGGAGCCTTAATTGAAATGCAGATCGGCAGCTTATAACCCCTGGCAACATAGAATAATGCTCTGGAAATAGCTGTACATTTGTCACTGTAATTTTGTAATATTTAAGAAGAAATCCTGGTTAAACTCAGTATCTGTGGAGTCCACCATTTGTGATACATGAAAATATCTGCAGCCTTTTCTGGAAATTTGGAACAATGTATGGACAATGGGGTTCGTGGCAGGGTGGGAACCTTTCTCTGCCAAGGGCCATTTAGATATTTATAACATCATTCGAGGGCCATACAAAATTATCAACTTAAAAATTAGCCTGCTGTATTTGGCTAAACATTTAACTAACTCACTCCAGACCAAATGATTTCGCGGACCTTATACAACCTGCAGGCCGATGTTCCCCACCTCTAATGTGGAGCCTAAGGCTGAAGCTTAGAAGTAGGAGGCAGACAAAAAAAAAAAAAAAAAAAAAAAAAAGAGAGAACTCTGGCCCGAGTGGATCAGTTGGTTGGAGTGTCGTACACCGAAAGGCGATGTGTTAAATTCCTGGTCAGGGTACCTACGGGAGGCAACTGACTGATGTTTCTCTCTCACATAGATATTTTTTCTCTCCCTCTCCTTTCTAAAATCAATAGAAAACATACCATCGAGTGAGGATTAAAAAAATTTTTTTTTGCCCTAGCCCGTTTGGCTTAAGCAGCGGTTCTCAACCTGTAGGTCAAGAACAATGAAAATACATCCTGCATATCAGATGTTTACATTACGATTCAGAACAGTAGCAAAATTACAGTTATGAAGTAGCAACGAAAATAATTTTATGGTTGGGGGTCACCACAACATGAGGAACTGTATTAAAGGGTCGTGGCATTAGGAAGGTTGAAAACCACTGGAGAGCATCAGCCGGAGGACTGAAGGGATACAGGTTTGATTCCGGTTACCTTACCTCGGTTGCAGGCTTGATGAGGCAACCAATCGATGTATCTCTGACATTGATATTTCTCTCTCTCTGTCTCACCCCCTCCCTTCCACTCTCTAAAAATCAATGGAAAAATATCCTGGGATGAAGATTAACAACAACAACAACAAAAAGAAAAAGAAAAAAAAAGAAAGAAAAATCGAGACTCTGGCTACATCATTTGAACCCACTGGCTAAATCTTTTTCTGAAGCCAGCTCCAACGTTTTATTTTGCAAAAATATGAATAAATATTAAATTCATGTTTTGGTTTGTTTGCTTGATAATATTCAGTTTAGGTTACATTTCCTATCATTAGAAACAAAGAATTCTGATATATAGGATGTCCTCCCAAAATGTCTACACACACCTTGAGTAATTGTAAAGGCAGTGTTTATTAAAACACATTTCCTTTTCGCTCAGCTGGTGTGCTCAGTGGTTGAGCATTGACCCATGAACCACTAGTCACTGGTTCGATTCCTGGTCAGGGCACATGCCCAGGTTGTGGACTTGATCCCCAGTAGGGGGAATGCAGGAGGCAGCCAAACAATGATGATTCCTCTCAATGATGTTTCTATCTCTCTATTCCAGTCCCTTCCTCTCTCTCTAAAAATCAATAAAAGCATCTTAAAAATACTTTTCATTTTCAAAACTGAGCTATCAGCTGTTTAAGTGTATATACTTTTTTTGGACATCTTGTATTTATCTAAATTTTTCCATAGTTTTTACATTTATTTCTGGCAAGCCACTACAAATTCATTTAGGAAGAAGTTTATGTATAATATATACACATGCGTGAACACTCACACAGTTTTATCAAACCTTAATATCTGTTTTTTTAAACTATAATGTATCTGAAGTAGCCTGTTAAGTAGTATTTTAAGAAAGTAAATACCGATCTTAGATTTTAATCTAGTTTTCTTAAATACTGTGAAAGTTTCTTTAACTCATCCCTGACTTGTTCATTTGTTTATTTATTCATTCTTTGGGGGGAAAATCCTTCCAATGCAAACCTTAAATAAATCTCCATTAGAAATCCAAACAGAAGTATTCTGAAGTCAAATAAAACAGCTGGTAACATATTGCTCACTGTGTGGTCACCTGTTCATATCCTTCTGAGGCACTGTCAAATCTAGATGTCAGGTTTCCAAATGAAACTTCCCAAAGGTGTTCCCTTCAGGTCCATCGCCTACCCAAACATTACTATGTGGGAGGGAGAAGAAATATATCCCCGTCAGCCCTTAACTGCTATAGGGACTGCTATAGCAGTAACTATAATGCACCGATGTTTCAAATATTTCCTATTACTCTCTGAACCATGATTTTTAAAGTTCTCTAACATTAACCTCATTTATTTGATTTATTCTCACTTCCATCTAAGGTTCCAGAAGCCTGTCATCTTACAGCTCCTTCAGTACTTTTTATCCCAGACGAGGTCAGACTTCGAAGGATGTGAGGCTCCAGCAACTTAAATCATAAGAGGCTTCCAAGACAACCGCACTTGAAAGGAGGCTGCAGCATCAATTTTGCTTAGGACCCTTGGGAGATCATTATGGTCAGAAGTTTCAAAATGGAATTCTAATAACGTGTAGGAAACAAAGGTGCAGTGACCCATCCAAGCATGGGGCTCATAGAAGGGCCCCAGTTGCCTTCCCCAAGGAATGGGGTTGATGGCAGGTACTCCATTTGTCCCGCCTGAATCAATTTTTCTCCTTGTGTTGGAGATTAAATTTCTTTCAATCTATTCCTTTTATCTCAGCTTAAGGATAAGCATTTGTAAGATCTCCTTTAAGCTAGCCTTTTGGTATCATAAAACAATTCACACAATTTTAATTCAAAGTAAATCTGCCATAATTCACTTTGTTGTTTACTGTAGTAAAACACGGATATAAAGACATACATATATAGTTTTCCATACAATTTTGAACCGATTTGAAAAACATGATGACTTCTCACATGATCCCCCTCTGGGCATCGACTATAAAGCATCAATAGTCAAAAGCCTGATACTGAATATTCATTTTTCACAGAAACTTGGATTGTGATTTTCCATCCGCTTTTCACGGATTATCAAACGCCCCAATGCTTGTGACATACAACTTAAAAGAGCAGTCAGTTGTTCTAAAAGGTGTAATTGCATTTATTGAAGTTGCTTTATAAACAATTACCATATGCTTTTATTTCTTAGTAATTTTGTATTTCTGTAAGGTGACTCTTGTGTGCATGAAAGGAGGGGAAAAAAGACAATTCAAATTACTCGACATTTATTTATCACGCCCTAACTGTACAGTGAGAAATACAATTAAAGTTTTCTGCACGCTATTGGATGAGTATTTCTGAAGAGGGGATCAGACATCTGCATTTTAAAAAGCCACCCAGTGTTTCTGATGTATAGTCACTACTGAGAACTACTGGCTTTCAGAATAAATTCCAAACTATCACGCACGGCTTTTAAGGTTGTTCGCAACTTGGCTCCAATCTACCTTTCCAGTTTTGTATCTCACTGTTTTCCTCCCGCTGCACACCAGCTAATCAAATCCTTTTGGCTGTTACCCGAGAAACTGCGTTCTTAAGGACTACTTGTTGCCAAAGAAGTCCTAAAGAATTAGGATTTTATTCACAGTTAAGAACTTAGAAGATAAGCTGCAGAGACAGTGGTGAGGCAAAGAAAACACTGTGAGTTGTACTTTCTAAACTTTAAAAAATGTTTCTAGCGTGAATTACACAGCACACGCTATCTCAAATAGACATTTTGACTCGTCTCTCAGTTTTTGATTATGAAAATTTAGTTATACTTTCCACACACCACATAAAAACACCAGACTGGACAGTACGAAAACAAGCACCACCACAAAACAACACACAAATGTTGTCGGAAGGAGTTTTCTGGGGTCCCCAAGGACCCACCGCAGCAGTGCCCTTCTCCCTCCCCGCCTCTCACACGGGACGATAACCCCAGAGTGAAAAACGGGGGGCAGAGCCACCCTGATGCAGCCGGGGGCGGGCGAGGGCAAGCTGATGGGCGCCGCTGGCCACGAAAATTGCCGGCGGGGAAATACCTGCGGGCCCGGGAGCTGGTGAGGGACGGGGAGGGACGACCTCGCTCGCCCCTCCCGGGGACGGGAATCTGCCGCGGGCGACCCTCCGCCTTGCCTCTCTCGGCCTCCACGGAAGGCTCTCCGGTCCGGGCAAAGCCGCTCCACAAGCTGGAGAACGAGTAGCCGCCCACTCCGCCCGAGCCTCAGTCAGTAGGTGCGTGGCGTTCCCCTGGCAACCGGAGGCTCTTCCGGTCCCGCAGCCACGCTTCCTCCGAGGTCACAGCGAGCCTGCGCCGTCCTCCCGCTCAGCGTCTGGAAGAGCTCGCGGAAACGCCGCCCGCGGAGTGTGAGGAAGGCGGAGCGCCGTCCCGTGGGGCGTGATGGGAGTTGTAGGCGCGCACAGCCTGTTCGGAAGCGTGTGGCGCCTGCGGTAGCTGAGGGCGCCGCTCTCGGTTCTGGTCTTTGCGGGATATCAGCGCCGGGAACGGGCTGTGCGGGCGGCGCCCTGAACGCGGAGGAGTGTGCGCCGTTGGCAGGCACGGACCTGGCGTGGTGGCAACGACCACTGGACGCACTGTGTCCCCTGGAGCCAGATGTGTGCGGGAGGCGCCCCGCTGCCCTGCGCACCCACCCTCTTCTGGGCTCTGAGAGGCCTGGGACCCTGGATGCTGGCGAAGTAAAGGTGTTAATATAGGTTGGGAGAAAGATGAACTCGCAGGTATTGTTCCGCCAAAGAATGCCTGCATCCTGGCTTCCCAGCTCTCTGATCTGCAGAGTTCCAGGAGGCATCATCTCCTGAGGGTCCCCGGAACCAACCCAGCAGGTGGTCAGAAAAACATTAACAGTCTCAGTGCTTAAAGTTGGCCACCTTAGCTTGCAACTGGGATTTTATAGTAACACATGATCCTCCAATTGAAAATATTTTGACATACACGTTTTCCACATTTTACTATCCTTGCCAAAGTGGAGACTACAGATGTTAGGGGCAAAAAGAATATTGGGGACTAGTTATAATTATGGGAAATATTAATCATGCTCTATTAACCATGCTTGCCTTGTTCTGGTTAAAGAAAGGACATTCTAACTTGGTTGGAAGTTGTATGCCCCGGGGCCTGGGAGTCAACCTTGGAATGCCTTCCATTCTCATTCAAGACCTGCCTATTATCTTGGAAAGATTAACAGCTTTGTTGCCCAAACAATGGAGTCCCACCACAGCCTGCAGAGCCTACTTCCCCATGTAATCTTTGTCCTACCCTATATCAGCAGCTGGGTTATGAGGGGCTGCAGAGCAGATTTTTCTTTTTGTGGACGACCAGCTGCTCTCTCGTACAGCTGGCAGTACTGGAATAAACACTCATATATGATTCAACCCTGTCTCTGCTTAATTGGCTCAAGTAGTGACAGGCAGCATGGACCCATTGATTGTCCTGATTACACAGATGCAATAGTTTTAAAGGTCTAGGATATTTTTTTTTTCTGTAAACCTTTCAATCTTCCTATATAGGCATAATTGCCCCCCCCCCCACCCCGTCCCACCCATGAATGGTGTTCTTGACTTAAAAGTTCTTCAAAGAGTTTTCATTTCTCATCTACTTTGTTACTGTAAGTATAGGATTTATCCCTCCTCCAACTACCTAGTGCAATTAACTACCAAATTAGTAATTAATTTGGCCTATTAAATGGAGGGTGAAAAAAGAGACTAGAAAGAATTTACAAAAGTAATGATGGGGGAAGGGGAGGGTTATACTGTTGCAGAAGACCAGAGAAAAACCAAGTGACGCTTTAGAGCAGTGGTTCTCAACCTTCCTAATGCCACGACCCTTTAATACAGTTCCTCATGCTGTGGTTGAAAGGGCGAGGACTACGCCCTCCATCTTGCCCCAGGGTAAGGGCTACGCCCTCCATCTTACCACATCCTGTGTAACAAGACACCGACTTGCGCCTGGCCAATCGGCAGGGCCCACAGTCCTTTCTCCTCCCCTTACTCCAACCCCCTGTAAAACCTCTCTCCACACAGAGTTCTCTCTCTCTGCCACTTGGCTTGCCATTGTGTCGGTGAGTGTGGTGGATGGGGAGCTCGAGCTAGATGGAATAGACTCTTTGCTTTTGCATCGGACTGGGCTGGCTCCCTGGTGGGCTTTTGGGGATCTTGAAATCTGGGCATAACAGTGGTGACCCCCAATTTCATTGTTACAAATTGAACATAATTAAAGCATAGTGATTAGTCACAAAAACAATATGTAATTATATATGTGTTTTCTGATGGTCTTAGGCGACCCCCGTGAAAGGGTCATTCGATCCCCCAAAGGGGTCCCAACCCAAAGGTTGAGAACCGCTGCTTTAGAGACAAGGAGTGACACTTTATTTTCGCCGGGAACTCAGGGAATAACTTTCCAAATCTGAGTAAAGTAACATGCAGGTGGCTTCTCTTTTATATCTTTCTGGGGTCTTTGTCCCTTGAATATGGATTATGCTTCTGGTCCTTTTTTCAGGGTTTGCAAGAAGGCCCCCAGGTGTTGGGGGTCTCCAGGCCATGGTGCCAGCGTTGATAACCTTCCCTCCCGGTCAGTGCAGTGTTCACAGTTTTATGGCCTCTGTAACAGATTCTGCAAGACCAGTTTCTGGGAAAGAGGTAGTGACTTAATTATAGGTTATCAAGAATGTACACTGGACTTGCTGGCACAAATCCAGATTGCTAGCCCCCCAAATATCAGGGTTACATTGAAATTAGCCCTTTTTAGCCTTCTCATGTGTATAATTATGGGATGCTTTTTGTTTTGTTACTTTTCCAACTGTGGCTGTTATTTTTACAATGAAAAAAAAAAAAGAAAGAAAAAGAAACATGGCCAGGGCTGGTGGCTGTTGAAATGCAAAAACTAACAAAAAACAAAACCCTTATATAGTTGCATAGCCAAAAGAACTGACTTACAAATGTCTTTGTAGTAATGGAATATGCAAATATATGTTTTCGTCCTTATTCTGTGACCTTAGGCCAATTGATCCTCCATTATGCTTCAGTAACCTCATCTTCAAAAGGACTATTTGTCTCATCTAGAGGTTTTGAGGAAAAAATAGGTAACAGAAGTATATATGTTTGGCACATAGTATTTATTAAATAATTTCCTGTCTTACCTTTGTACTGAAATTTTTATTATATGGATAGGATTTTTAAGTGTGGTGATTCTTTAACTTCTTGCTCTGTATGTGAAGGCATTATGACTCACGTTGATAAGGGATGGTAACTAATTTGCTTTTAGCCATAATTTGACTTTTTTTTTTTTCTTTCTCTTAAACATAGGCAGAAATCTTATGTTTTAGAAAACTTTAGTGGACAGACTTAATTTTTCCTGTTTGGAGTTGCTATATTCTGCCCCTAGGTTGAGTTCTATTTTTGGTTAGTGAAAGGGTTAACTGGAGAACACAAGGCTTGAGCCTTATAAAATCTAACAAATGTCAAAGGGAAAGCTCATTCTACAAGCCGAAGCCTTGCACAAACATTCTCCCCTTGAGTAATTATTTTATAGAAATGCCTCAAGGCCATAATTCCTTACCCCCCCCCCCCCCGCCCCCCCCAAGGAAGGACGGAAGGATGTCTGGCACCAGCAGAAGGACAAAGGGCAAGGCTGTAAAACTATGGACCTGATATTTTTGTCAAGCCAAAGCCCCGGCTGTAGCTTTCCCTGAGCGCATAAAAAGCCTGCTCCCCCCCCCCCCCCAATTCATCGCTGGCTCTTTCTTGAGTCAGTCCACTTGCACCCACGTGACATGAATAAATACCATTTTTTTAAAAAAATACATTTTATTTATTTTTACAAAGAGGAAGGGAGAGGGATAGAGAGTTAGAAACATCGATGAGAGAGAAACATTGTGATCAGCTGTCTCCTGCACACCTCCTACTGGGGATGTGCCTGCAACCAAGGTACATCCCCTTGACCGAAATTGAACCTGGGACCTTTCAGTCCGCAGTGTGATGCTCTTATCCACTGAGCCAAACTGGTTAGGGCAATAAATAGCATTCTGATTACACTGAACCTTGAGTTCATTCTGTGTGACCCCGGCCCAACCCTGAACCTTTTAGTTAGTACAAAACATTTGGTGAAAACTAGAAATATAATGGAGAGATTGAATATCTAACTTTTCAGTAAATTTAGGCAGACATATAATTATTTTACCAAAAAATTAGCTAAATAAATAGATGAGTATAGTTGATGTGATGACTTATGATTATTAGAGATGAAATAGCCACAGTTTACTCAATATTCTAGAAAATGCCAGTTTTGAAAATATCAACTTTAAAAAAAGTAAATATTTCATATGTTGAATCTGTTTGGTGCTTTGCCAACTGAAACAGCTTTCAAGAGTACACTCAAGGCTCAGCATAAAAACTGTCCCATCTTGATTTAAGAAGTTAGTTTGGCTCTCTTCATTTTGTTAGGAGATTGAGCAGTTTTAAAAATGGTATGTGATTTTCTGAAAGCTACTTAAGATACCAGTATAAGGGAAGAAAGTTTCAGGCACTTTATTACCAGTTTAAATTTCATACTGGCTTTTGGAACTGTAGAATGATAAAAGACATAAGAGTGAGAGATGATGAATACAATCCTATTCTGATTAATTCATGATACTTTTTATGTATTTTCTTACCAGAAACTTTAAAAATAATATAGAAAATCCTGATTTGTAATTTAATGGAAGTTTTGGAATGAATGTTGATGGTCTAAAGCTGTTTGAGCAGTTAGACATTATGTGTATATTTTGGTCATTGGCAATTTGTATACAGTAGTGCCTCTGCACTGAACAATTTACTTGAAGGTTACAAAACATTTTGCCCATATAAAATCACTACAAAAATATGTACCAATTATGTATATTGATTTATGTGAATTTGTCTTGACCGTAATGATATTATTTTGAAAAATTACACTTACGATTTTGTATTCAGAATTTTTAATATATCTACAGAGCATCTAAATATAGTAGATATTTAAAACAATAAAAATTAAATATGCATCAATAAAATACAAAAAAGTAACAAATTCAACCACCAGAACTGTAACTTTTATTTGCTAATAGATATTGTAATAAACAGGCTTACTCCATCTGTAAGACCCTGATAATGCCTCTTAGGAAATCATAGAAAAATAAAATACAATAATTAGTAATTTGTACTTTGTACAAAAATCTTATTATGTTGCTCAGCAGGTAGTTTTGCTAAACACCATATTCTTTCAGCAAATAGATGACATATGTAATGCAGTACACCACAATCCCTCATTGAGAGCTGAGCATTCTATAACACTATTAACTTGTAAGCATGCCAGCACATGAAAATTTACATGGAACATC